AAAGTAGAGTCTTGCCTTACGCCCGAGGTTTACAGCAAGGGCAAGTGGAGATATACCGCTCTCTCGGCTCCGAAGCCGAGAGCTCAGCTGCTGGGTTGGGGGTCCGAGGGCCTCTCTTGCCAAGTCGTGCAAGATGGCGCGCCTACAGGATTCAAGTTTCGGCGCAGATTCGGACGAGCCTTCGTTATGAAGGTGGCGCAGTAGGACATACTTGTGATGCAAAGTCAAAGCTGGCCTCCCATTGCTAGGTTCGCAAGTTCTGTCCACATTCATCTAATAGGTACAAGAGCATCGGCACCCTAAAGCCGTTCGTATATAACTGTGAACTGTAGGTCCGCCACATCCAACAGACTCGGAGCCCGGAAGCAACTGCGGGACGCCAGAAGCGTAAGGCGCCGAAGAGCCCACACAGTCCCCAACACCTGCAAGTCTCGGAACCTACCGTATGTGCGGGAAATATGGACATCATCAGCAAATTAGTTTGAAGCCAGCGGACCTGAAAAGGGTGAATTCTGGATTTCACCCGAATACCTAACTTCAACTCCGCCGCCACCTGAACCTCTATACTCAACCTAGATGTGTTTCTCGACGCATCCTACATCCCACGCCCCGACGCCCCAAACCCGCAACAGTCAACCCTCCAACAAGCCGTAGACCCCAAACCCTTAAAGTCCCAGATCCTAAACCCGGATACCCTGCAAGCCGCAGACCCAAAACCCCTAAAGTCCCTAGCCCTGGACCCCAAAACCTGGACCCCCCAATAAAGCCCCTAGCCCCAAACACCCGAAGCCCAAGGTGGAATTGGCGGGCCCAAGGAGAGAAGCCCACAGAGGGCAAGGCAGCCGACCTCGAGGTGCACGCGTTGGTTTTGGGAATTGGGGTCTCAAGGGTTTGGGGTTCAGGGATTTTGTGGTTTGGGGTTTAAGGTTTACGGTTAAGGGCTGAGGATTTTCTGCTTGGTCCGGAGTTTGAACGTGTGTTTGTCTGTCTTCATTTACCAACCAGAAAAAGCACCGCCGCGTCTAAAGGCAGAGCAAGCATATACCTTCTACTATGTACATTAGACCACATATACATACGGAGATAAACAGATGGATGGATGGATGGACGGATGGGTAGAGGTATGGACGGACGGATGGACAGACGGACGGATGGTGTATCCCATGTATCTATGCATGGCTCGCCCGCAGAGCCCTGCAGCCCTCGCGAGCGTCACAGGCTCCCTAGAGGCAGTGTACACTAGTGTTTGCCCAAAGAACCCCTCAGTTCGTAGACCTCTGAAGTACCTTAACTTGCAATGTTTGTTCATTCGGCCTGTGGTTGTTTTTTATTTGTGTAAAGAGGGGTGGGCTTGAGGCTTGGGCTTTTGCGTGTTGTGTGTAGGGGTTCAGGTTTCGGGGGTGAGGGTGTAGAGCTTCGGGCTTTCAGGGTTCCCAGGATTTTGCAGCGGCAGCTGGATCTGGGCTTTTTCCCCCGAAGCGGTAGACCCTAGACCCTAAGTTTCTTCCAGGCTCATGGCTTGCTCGACTTCAGTAGGATAGCACAGGTATCCATGGGCAACAGTACAATCCATGGCAGAATCTATGGTGAGACACTGCACCGACGAATGCGAACCCGAACCAGCCATGACACTGGTTCGGGTAATGGGAGGGACGGGACGTCGACTGAACGAGTACTCTTCCAATAATGGTAGTAGACACAGTATGGTCGGCACTTGCAAGACAGACAGAAAGAACATCGACCGCAACTGTTTGTGTTCAGGACGAGGCCGTCGACATACATTGCAGCCAGCGGCAAGCGAATCCTGGTAGAGAGTTCCACTTATTATAAATTTCCGTAGATCTTGGCTACCGAAGTCCAGCAGGCCCAAGAGCGTTGAATCCTAAGCCCGAACCGTTAGGGTTCGGCTATTATGTTGTATTATCCTGGGTAATGTTATATCATATTGTGTCGTAGAATATTGAACTAATTTTCTCTACACCGTGAGACCTGCACCTGAAGCCTAAGGCTCTATCACCCTTTGCCAGCAGGCACTTAAAAACCGCCACCCTGCACCTCTCAAGCCCAAAGTGAACCCACAGTGTCGGTTCGTTGTCGCCGTATACTTGAAGAACGACATCCTCCAAGGCCCTTTTAGAATCATAAACCCCCAGAGAGGCTTCAAGGCCTGTCAAACCCGATAGATGTCTACAAGCGCCTTAGGCGAGTTCGAGAGAGCTGTAAAGAAATTGTGGGAGCAGCAGTTCAAGGCCTCAGAATCTAGACACTTGAGCCCTTGAAAACCTCGCAAAAAAAGGTTGGGGAGGCCACCACACACTTCCAAATAGCATAATACGGGCCACAAGCCTGCGTTGATTCTGAAAGCCTGTAATCCTGAACCCCTCAGCCCAGCTAGAGTCTTCTGCAGGTCATTGGCTCCAAGTCGGTGGACAATGTGCCCCAAATTAAGGTGCCAGGGTCAAGGGCTGTTGTGGGTTTAGGGGGTATTTTGAGTTTAGAATCTAGAGTTGTCTAGGGCTTCAAGCCCATAACCTTAAGTCTGTAGGCTTCAAGCCTCAGACCCCGAAGCCGTAGTCTGTAACAGCGCCCTATAAACACCCGGCTAACCCGGCAGACCCTGATCCCAAGGCTACCATTAAGGCGGTTATGCTTTCGGATAAGCACTTGCGCAGAACCCTTGCACAATCCTACAAAACCTGACAACCTTTGGATGAACCTGATAGCGCGACCCAAAGCAAATCGAACCCGTAAACCTTAAGCCCACAACCCTAACCCCTTACGCCGCCATAGACCCCTAAACTCTAAACCCCGAACCCTAAGCCCCTATAAACCCCTAAACCAAGCAACGGCCAAAAGGTGCACTTTAAGGCCCTAAACCCTTATAAACCCCTAACGCCGGCCGGCAGGTGCACTTGAGGCAGGCCACTGAGACAGAGCTCAGGCCCGCTTCTCGGTTCTGCCCGGTCTCCGGATTTAGGGTTTAGGGTCTAGGGCTTGACGTTTCGAATGCCTGGGAAAGAGAGAGAGGGTCTAGGGTTTAAGGGTTTAGGGCTTAGGTGTTTCAGGGCTTCGGGGTTTAGAGTTTAGGGCTTTTGGGTACTGTCGGCGCCTCGGTTCCTATGCACAATCCAGGTAGGGAAAGAGGGCTTTTGGGTGTAGAGCTAGGGGTTTGGGCCTGTGCAAGTTTAAAAGGGGGTCTAGGGTTGAGGGTAGAGCCTTCCTTCGGAATTGTGCTGTTTTGGCCCTTTTGGCTTGTTCTGTTTGTTCAGTGAAAGTTTTTGTAATGGTTGTGTGTTATTTTAAGATTTTTTGGTTGCGAGGGTTCGGAGGTCAGTTTTTCGGGTCCGTTTTGAAGTAAGGCTGCTGGCCCGAAGGACGGCTTCGCATGGGAGTTCTTCGTCGAAATTTCATGCCCTTGTGTATTTGCTCCGTTGGTGATGACACATCACACCCAGGAGCAGTTGCGTTCGACTGTTTAGGGCTTGGGGTTGCGGGGGCTACCTGGGCCCTAGCAAGGGAATCTTTTCAATTACTTATGTAGGGAGGTCACAATAAGAAACCGGAAAAATCAGGTTTCTGAAGGTCCAGGAAGTGCTTCAGTGTTTGGATTTCGAGGGTTTCGGAATCCAAGAGAACTCAAGGCTTGAGTTGTGGGATGCAGGGTTTAGGTTTAAACCTAATGCTCATGGTGTACAACTTGCACTTATGGATTCTTATGGTTAACGACGGGGCAAGCTCAGGCTTTCTTGGGGTTCAGGTTCAAGCTTTAAAGCTTTCGGTCATCGCCCATCGCACTGGTATCTTCATTCACAGCGATGTAACATACTTGCCGTGTGATCTTGTTTCAAGGGAGCGTTAGAAAAGGGATCCTTTTTCTTTCCAAATGGAGCCATGTTATATCCTCTATGATGAACTACCCCTTGCGAAGTGGAGGTACTTCCCATGTGATGCTTCAAGACAAGCTCATGCTGGACTTGGAATTCAGATCTTAGACTGCCTTAAGCCCCAAGCCCTGAAACTGAAACGGTAAACCCCTAAGTCCCAAACCCGAAAAGCTTGAAAGCCCTCTCCCCAAACCTAGTAAACCCTAAACCTGAGAAGCCTCATTCTCTAGAGACTCTAGAATCCGTAAGAAGCCCTTATAAACTTATAAACGAACCTTTATGATAAAACCCTGATCAGCCCTATCGTGGAATCCGAGTTTTTGGAACCCGGATAGAGCCCTTGCAGAATCCCTAAACCCTAAACCTCTCACACCGGATGTCGAGAACCAAGGCGTTGCCTACAGTACCAGGCTCTCCGTGATGCCCAGGACGGGATGTAACGTTGGGGCCCAAATACTTACCAATGCTATTCCTTAAAGCTCCTTGTTACACTCGTACTATAAAGGAGCCCCTCAAAACTTATTCTATGTAATCATTGAGGCCCGTGTCTTCGGAGGATTTCGGCTTTCGCAACTCGAAGAGGGCGAGGATCCACAGAATCTCGGTAAAACAGGATCTCCACGACAAGCGAATGCACAACGGGAAACCCCAGCAACAAAACAAGCAAGTGTGAGGTCTAGGACTTAGGGTTTAGAGTTTAGTCATGAGGGGTCAGGGTTGAAACAACGTTCAGAGTTGAGGGCTTAGGACTTAGGTTTCGACAAAAGGATTGTTGGATTCTGACTCTAAACGGATCGAAGGCGGTACTTGACGGTCAACAAAGCCTCCCCCCCGAACCAGGAGCCTCTACTGTCTCCTGTCACCTTGTGGGGAGGGAGATGAAGTGAACTTAGGGGTACTCAGGAATATTCTTTTATTTTTGGTTATTACAACCCCCTTAGAAACAGCTAAAATTATAATCTTTGCTAGGGTTCTAAGTTCAGTATAGTGAAAGGTGCTGGGTAAACGGGTTGGTTAAAGGGTCCAAGTTCACCGGCCGAGGCGGGTGTGTTAGTTTACGCGTCACGGTGCTCCAATATCTCTTTCAGGTATGTTTTAATAGTTCACAAGAACATGATGGATAATAATGTTAGACACAAACTCAAGGCAGAGCAGCTTGACGTTCCATTGCTGCTGCTTCTGGACTGGCAGCATTTGTATAACAGAGCTATACGCCAAGCTTCCCGACTGCCAAAACTTGAGGCCCCTCCTGAAGCGTCGGAAGATGTGCATGATACCGGCCCCACTGACGAGAAAAGCCGTGAAGGAAAGCAGAAGAAGAACAACGGCAAGCGATCAGAGCAGGTAGGGGAAATCCCACACGCAATTGTCGAACCACAGGAGTAAATGATGGAAGTTGCCACGTGAAAGCTCTGTTGCACAGATACATACTTGTACCAACGTCCGAAGTTCTGCAGTGGCAGCCATCGGCAGGCAACGAAGATTTGTCCTGAGCTAGGGGCTCCATTAGTTCAGGGCTGTACGTAGTGCAAAATTGAGGCTTTGGTGTGTTCTGGCTTGCAGGCTGAGGTACAAGTCTCCCATCCGCTTCTCTTGCCTGCACGCTCAAGACCCAAGCGAAATCTTCAACCCTTGCATCGCTCAATTTCCTAACCCCAGAACAGCTGCCAGGAGGATGCCGACTACGACATGCTCCTGGCGCAGGCCGAACTTGACGTTTTGTGGAATTGAATGCGCCTGAGGCTTCGAGGGACTTCAGTTGAGTCGTCAGCCCTTCGGGCATGAATGGGTACAACAGCGCTGTTGTTTGGGGTGTAGGGCCTAGGGTTCAGGCTGTCGCGTTGCTTTTCCGAGTTTTGGTGCTTGGGAAGACTGGAGATGCTGGTAGCCCCCAAGTCTCGGAGAGACTTTAGGGTTGGGGGGTTTAGGGTTTAGGGTTTAGGGTTTAGGGTTTAGGGTTTAGGGTTTTAGGGTTTTAGGGTTTTAGGGTTTTAGGGTTTAGGGTTGAGGGTTGAGGGTTTAGGGTGGAAGAATCGTGGGTAGTTGTTGTTTTTCGGTCTCGGGGGGGTGATGCTGCTATGGCCGATCTTGCGCAGAGGCTCTTGGCCAGCTGTCCGGGTTTAAGAATTTAAATTTCTGAGCCATAAACCCTGTGCCGCTAAATCCTGGCGCGCTCGCCCGGTCTTACCACATGCCTCGTTACGAGGAGGTCCGACGGGAGGGTTGAGTCATGTTGGGTCTATGTGGGTGGTTGTCAATATTAGGGTCCCTTTTTGGGTCCCTAATATAATACGGCGCCTAATATTTAGGGTACCCCAAAAATGACCATAATTTTGACAACCACCCATGTGTAACTCAGAATAGCCCGAAGGTGACCAAGTCCAAGACAGCTGGAGTGGATCGGTCCTGGCCTCGGACAAGGGAGCATCACCTCGCTTCCTTCACAGCTTTAGTAGCGTTAGGTTTTGGGTTGTTTGGGAAAGTCTCCGGGGCTTTGGAACTGAAGGCTTTGAGGTGTCAGAAAATAGGGGACCCTAATATAGTACCCTAAATAGTAGGATCCTTATTATAATGACCCCAAAATAAGATACCCCTAATTTTCGGAAACTCCAGGGGTGGTTTAAAGAGACTTCAGTGTTCGGCTCGAGGGTTGAGGCTAGGGTGTACTGCTTTACACTGTCGGTCACAGCTCAGGTAAAAGCCTGCCAGAACCAAGACAGAAGTCGTGACACTCTCCGCATGTGCATGCCCTATCTTAAAGATCAGAATCTCAATGGACATACTTAGTACGTTCTATCCCTTTATAGTCCCTGTATGAGTGTTTATAGCACTGCATGCACCAGAAACGTTTTTGGTTATGAAGATCCCTATACCACACACAAGGAATCAACAACTCTTGCCCAGTGCCCTTTGGCTCCACTCCGAAACCGCAAGCAGGGTTGAGTTTTGTTGGTATAGTGGGGTTGCATGCCAGGCGACGTGCTACTAGCTTCGCTGCTATGGCGAGCGAGTAAATCATCTGCAGCTTCCGGGTGCATCAGCCTTCCTTGAACCGAGGGAGCACATCGAGTTTGCTGAAGAGAGGTCGGATCCTGCCAACGCTTTGGGGCTGCAGCGATTTCACAGACATCTCGAGCTTGCGCATGCTTCAGTTGCCGTTGTAATGTGGCGTGTTATTCGTATAGTTGCAGCTAGTGCTAGTGCTCGGTTAGTAGTTTCTATCATTTGTTTGTTTTCTGCTGCGTTCTGTTAAAAGTACAAGCTGGATTTTGTTTCTGCTGGAGCGGGCCGCTTCAGGGCTATCGGTGAGTCGGGGTACAATCGCTTGTTGGTTGGTCCGCCGTCCATACAGGGCATATCTTTTAGGGCCTAGGGCATCGCAGCACAATCATTCGCACCTGTTATTTCTTGCTTGTCTAGGATTTCGTGCTTGATTCTGATGCGTACAGAAATCCCGACACCGCAGGCTGCGGGAGATGCGAAAGCAAGGAATGCATGTCAACGAGGGCTGCAACAAGGAGCGGAGTGGCCAGTTGTCAGTTTCTTTCAGTAACATCTCTTGCCCTTCAGCCGAAGGGGTTAAGTTAGAATACCCGAATACCCTTGCGGCCCGCGCTGCAAACCCCATATCCTAAATCCTCAGCCTCCTCCACCTCCCCGCAGGAGGATGGCGCGCAACAGAAATCCCGAGAAGCTAGCACCCGTAACAATTAATTAGGCATGATCCTAAATCCAGTACAACCATGGCGCACTAGTAAAATAAAAGCTGTTCTCACTATCAATAGTCCATGTTCCGGGTGTTAGGCCTGCTTGTCTGCTTGTCCTCCAATCCCAAAACCTGAATAAGTAGAAGACTAAAGTAACAAAGTGGATAAATGCTGATGCTCACAGAACCGATAGAAACAGAGAAGCCTGCAACCCTAAATCCGAATCCGCAAATGAAGACGACACTCGGTTTGATTAGAAAGTGCCTGCAGGAAAATCTCCGAGAGCTGATGCAGTGGGGCAAGGCATGGGTTTGCGTTTTGAAGCTGCTGTGGGGGGTTTCCGGTAATGGCTCCTTTAACTGGAGCCTGCTTATGGAACCCCACAGTACCTTTAAGGGTGCAGAGTGCATCTTCCGCTGTAGTATAGCATTTCCCATACATATGCTTATAGTCTCGATCTATGATTACGGTACAGTATGTCTCAAAAGAGTGAGCTTATTTAGGACTCCCCATGTCAGGGTTTGGGGGGGAAGCAGGGTTTGGGTTTAGCGCTCTGCGATGCAAAGATCTGGCGAGCCCCAAGCCCAGTGGCAAAAAAGGTTCCTTGACCCAGTTCAAGGGCGATAGATGGATTTGGGGACTATGTGGAAGATCCAGCTTTGACTTATGCTGGGAGCCTCGAGCCGAAGTAGGCAGTTTTAGGGAGCTTCCTGAAACGTAGCCGCTCGACCCTGAGGACCCTAACTCGAAACACTGAACCTCAAAGCCCTAAGCTTTAAAATCCAAAAACATGAAACCCCTAAACGACTAAATCCTAAATCATCGTTGCAGCTTCGGAAAGGTGACTCGATGTGAGAGCACTGTGGACAACGAGCCATGCAAAGCCAGCTTCTGAGATGGCATGCTTAGGAACTTGGGGGGGGGGGGGGGGGGGGGCAACATGAAGGTTTCGAGTTTAGGGTTTGGGGTGTGGGGGATCGGGGTGTAGGGTGTAGGGTCTGAAGAACGGTCTAGGGATTGGGAAGTCTGGGAGTCGGGATTGGGCTTAGCCTAGGGGCATCAATACTTAGCACTTCGTTGACGCTACCGAACATAATAAGTTACTCAATGTATCATCCAATAATTGAGCCACGTACGTGAGGGTTGAAACCCGCAACTTCGATAGCTATGTCCCTGTAACGAGTGTAACCCTTACAAAAACTCGACAGAAACCCTTACAGCATCTTTGTGGTGCATCTGACGTGGGTGAGTATAACCCCTCCCTGCACCACAAGGTTCGCTCAATTCTATTTGCCACGGCCCAATATTATGCCCTCCCAGTACACCCTAAAAACCCCGGTTCAACATGTTAAGGCACCGACATGATTTTTTTCGCATGCTCTTGAGGCTTTGACTTAAACCCTGAACCCTAAACCCCCAAACCCTAAACCCCAAAGCCATAACTCATCTTGAGGACAAGGGCTGGGGTGGACCGGGTTAAGCCTTGAGCTTCTTCAGTCCTGCCGCTCCGTGAGGTCTCTAAAGGGTTTCATGAGGGTTTAGGGTTTAGGCTCAGGGTGGTACATGTCTGGGCTTCCTGTCCTAATGGATGTCAACTCGCATGGCTTGACGCCGAGGAAGGACGGTGTTCGTTTTCGTTGAACAGTTGTCAGTTGTATAGGCCCTTCACTGTGCAGCTAATGCTCACGCGTGATGTCTGTGATGTAATGCTTGCTTCTTGCATGCCTCTTCACCATTTGTTACATACCACGCTCTGCATCCTGATTTTCTTCGAGATTGTCTTGGAATCCCAGCTGCTTCGTGTGCAGCGTCTTGCGGTTTCATGAGCACGCAGCTTGACTCCTCGAAAGGGCGGCTTGGGTATCGGTGCTGCATGTCGGCCTCGGTCAAGATGATTGCAGGTCGTAGACTGGCTAGACTTGAGTCCAGTAGCAAAAAGGCTTAGGATTTAGGGATTTGGCTTAGGGGAAAGGGCTGAGAGTTTGATTGATGGGGCGTTAACGTATTCTAGGGTCTCGATAAGCTTCCTGGCTAAATCTGGAAAGGCCCTGAACCTTCAAACAGAGCCTCCTAAACCCGGGCCAGTTCTTTCCCAGAAGATTTACAATAATGTTTGGCTCGAAACCCTTAGACTTTTCCAAGACTATCAAGACTCTACACAACTCCTTTTAGCATCTTATATAGAACCCCTAGGTTCCCTCGATACGACAACACTGAGTTGAAGCTTACGTACGAAACACTGAACTTGTCCACCCTTCCTCCGGATAAAGCCAAGAGTTGTTTTGGCTTATCGACCACGAAGAGGCACGAAAATACACCAAAAGCCTTAAGACATCTTAAGACTGTCTGGAACTCTTACGCCAGCTTGATGAAAGTCTGAAGCTACCCTCAGCAAGCCGTTTTCACCAGGCCATGCCCGACTGCCCCTGCAACGAGGAAGTCAACTGCGGCGAGGCCTAAAACTCCAATGCAGGGTGAGTCCGAGCTTGAGAGCGTCAACCCTTACAGTAGAAGCCTGAAAGTTGGAATATGGTTTCAGGGTAGGATACCTAATAATTTACCTTAAAGGGGTTACGATAATGATATTCCAACTTTCTGGCTTCTACTATATGACTTCGAGGATCAGAGGGCCTTCAGGGTTGAGCGGGACAGCAAGAATTAGATGACGGTGCTGAGGAAAATACAGGTGGGATGCTCTGCCCCCCGATGGCTCTGGTGCTAATCCCTTACCTTAGGGGAACTTAGAAATAGTTTTTAATTCTTGGTTATTATAATCCCGAAGAAGCAGCTAAAATTATAGTTTTTGCTGGTATAGTTACCATCCCTAGTCACTTGGAGTCCTAAGCGTCAAACAGTGACACTTATCTTAGCAGCCGGCATGAGGAAAGCAGCCACCATCCGCATGCAGGCCGTTATGACGTGCAGGTTGCTGCCGGCAACTTCAGCATACAATCGTAGGACCCGTACCAAACCCCCTTTTTGGAATCCTTGTGAAAACCTCACAGAGCCTGAGTAACCTTTATTATTGTGACAGTTGTAGAACCCAAAGCGTTCTGATGAAGCCATGTTGAACCACCCTTTGCATTGCTCTGCAAGACTCTGTTACTAAGCCCTGAACCTTCACACCAAGGCGCTTAAAGCCGCCCAAAAATCCCAAGTCCTAAGGCCTAAGCCCCAAAACCGCGAGATCTTTTCGAATGGGTGCAGTCTCGAGGTTCTGCAGATCGTCCCGAATGCAGTGCAGCAATGCCTCAGAGAGTTCGGGCCAGAGGCTGGGGTTCGGGGTTTAGGGGCACGCCGAAGTTGGGGTTCATGAAGGCATTGGAAGGGGTTTGTCAGGGTCTGTTGAGGGCTTTATCCGCTTGATGAGGGGTTCGTACTATATGTACTGGTTGTCTTGATTTCTTATAGGGATCCATTTTCAGGGCACTCACATCATATGGTGTCTCGTGGCACTGTTCAGGCTTTACATCAGAAATCCGCCACTGGGGGTAGTTTGTCTTGAGGTTTGGTGTGCGTGCTTGGTCAGTCCTGCCCAGGACTTTGTTTTCTGGGTTTGTTTGTCTCAGGCTGTGTCAAGTGCAGCTGTCGCTGATCAGGCAAAGCGGACATAGCGGAAAGTTTGCCGCGTGAGAATCACCTGCTTGAGTATGCCCTGCCCCTGCACCGACCGGACCCCCGAAGGAAACCCCGGAGCCCCAAAATCACTAGACCCAGATCGGACCCAGCGCACGCTAGATCTTCAACCCCTGGTCCCTCAACCCGACAACCAAATCCTTTTCAGGGTTCCGGGGTAGATGACCCCCCAGCTTTTCCAGGTCCTTCAGCTAAAATGAGGATCCCTAGTATCATCCCCTAAAGCGGGGACAGGGGTCTAGATTACCCTTCACCCAGCCCCAGGGGAGAAAAAACAACAAGTCCTGAAACCCTCATATAGCCTTATTATAGCCCAAGGAGCCAACTCTGAATTATGCTCAAGTTCTAAGCTTAGTTAAGCCCTCTTTCACCACAAAATTTGCAGCAACGCCATTAATGTAATTAAACCTTAAGCGCTATTGGTGCAGAAGCAAACCTTTTCCGGCCCCAGTGGCCAAAACGGAACCGTATGCTGCGCCTTTCGTGGGCAAGGCACAAACTATGCCTGTCTGTGCCTCACAAGGTGGCATGATACGGTTTTGCCTATGCCCACCAAAGGTGGCAGGATAGGGCAAAGTATCCTGCACCCTTCGTACGCAAACCGTATCCCGCCACCTTTCGGGGCATAGGCAAAACGGTATCCTGTGGTTCTGATAAAGGGGTTCTGATGGCGGGGTTCCGGCGGTGAGGTTACGATTATGGGTTGCGATTGCAGGTAGGGTTCCGATCATCTGGGGTGCCGAATGGCTTCTGTGCCGCAACGACAAGCCGTGATTTTCGGAAGAATTACGGGATTCTGTGGTCTGGTGGTGTGCGTTTCTACGGCAGTGCTTGCCTATTGTTGCGATTTCCTACCCGAGCTGATCGTAAACCCTAAGCCCTTCACCTAGATCGTCTCACTCAACAGACCTCGAACCACATGCCTCGCCTGGATTGTCCGAGCGTGAGCGCCGAAACCCTTCGCCCCGCCAGGGCGACCGGGAACTCTTTGACGAGCTCTCGGGTTCTGCCTCTGCGGTGGAGGAAGGCCGAAATGAGACTACATGAGAATTCAACACGCGTTACCCAAGGGAGATTTTCCAAAGGCCCCTTCATGACAAACTGAAGCGGGCCCGATTGTAGGGTTTAGGGCTGTCTAGACTCCACAGGGTACGTATAATTTGAGATGCATTCCATCATGTCGTTTTAGGGCTATTTATCAGGGTGTTCTAGTTCTTAATCTGTGGTATACTTCGCATGGGAGCGTCTTTCGGGTTTGTGACCTCCGGGGCTCTGAAAGCAAACTCAAGCTGACCTTGATGGGGTTTGGTGCGTATAGGGAATGTTGCAGGGGTAGACGGTTTAGGGTGTATAGACTTATAGACTCCAAACCCCACAATGAGTTAACTACACCTTAACATAATGCCTTGGTTAAGGCATTTGGAGTTTCTGGGGCTTTAAAGAACCACATCTAAGGAACCCTTGCTTGTCCGGCTTAGAATTTGGGAGAAATTTGATAGGGTGATAGGGTGTAAGGTTGGGCCAACTGATCGGGGCAACTATGGGGCCTCCTAGAGCTTCGGGCGAGTTTTCGGTCATCGTTCTCAAAGGAACCTCTGGAGGCACCCTTTATGTGACCCCGTCTAGGAAGCCTCGAAGGAACCTTTGCGGTCGAGAAACGTCTATGGGAGACCTTCAACAACCCCTGAACTTTGACATCCGGGCCCTTTGGATCCAGGGTTTGGGATTCCGTACGGGTTCTTGAGGAGGGCCATAGGCGATAGAAGGTTCGGGTGGCTTAGGGGTTTAGGTTTCGAGCTTTAGGGGTTTGTGAGTGGTTTACGGGTGTAAGGGTTTACGTTTAGGGGTGTCGGGCTCAGCGCCAAAGTGTCAGAAGTTGGGGTTTCAGAGCGTGTGGAGGTCGGCATTGGGGTTTCAGGGCGTGGCGTTTGGCATGGGAGGGTTTTGGGTATATGAAGAGAGAGTCTGGGCGGAAGGAGGGAAGAGCCCGAGAGAGAGCGAGAGAAAGTTCTCAGATTGAAAATGCAAACACATCAAAGCCTGACACGGCTCTTTGCCTCACGCGTAGACGTCTCCTTTAAAGTACATTCTGAAGTCTCAGGGCTGAAGGGATGAGAGCGACGGCTTTTGACTCTTTGACCGGAGGCTCTGTCTGGAAAGCCGGTGGCAAGCTAATCTTCAGTGCTTTCGACCGAAATCAGCCGGGACCCCGGGCTGTCTGATATGAAAAGTTTCAGGTTTACCGCAAGGATTGTCAGTGTGAGCCTGTGAGTCCCGACATACCTTCCGATGGTGTAAAACGCCCCATCTTGTCACCATGTTTGTCTCTGTTCTTCTTGCCAAGGTCTGTGCAAGCTCTGACGCGCATGTTGAACAACGCGGGCAGGAAGGGACTCGACAAGCTTCCTGGAATCGGCATGTTGGTTGAAGCCTTCATCTGCTAGTTCAGCAGACAAAACCAGGATGAAACACAATGGCGCTGATATATGGCAAGAAGCGTGTACTCGCAGCTTCAATAGCTGGTTGTAAGGTTCAAAAGCAGACAAAGCTGAAGGGTTGTGATTCTGTGCTTTTGGAGATTTGTGGAAGTAGGCTGACATGGTTGAGAAATTCCAACTCTCACTCTGTCAGCTTCTTCATGTTAGGCTGGGGCCACACAGCTGTTTCGATTGGCTTGTTCTCGCTGGTTTTCTTTCTGCATGTATTGTCTCTTGGGTTCGCCTAATTGAACTGACATCGGCTTTTAGCATGCAACAACTACACTGGGAAACCCCGGGCCCAAGCCAAAAAACGACGGAGGACCCGATGCGTTCGGATGCTGATGCAGATGGTCAAGCCGGGCACAAAGCTTCGGGTCCTGTGGGTGGGTCCTCGCTGTGGGCATGTGCAGCTTCGTCTGTAAGTGATTAGCTTATATGGGCCCTTGTAAAGATCCAGTACGAACCTGTAAGACTGGACCTTGATGTATGCGTTCGGCGTTAGGTTCCAGTCGAGGAAGCTTGCACCCTACACGTAGTTTCAGGTAACAGTGTTCATTCGTGTTAATGCGCCATCCCTATGTTTCTATGCATGACAGGGTTTAGAGTTTCGAGGTTTGGCAGGCCCATCTTCAGCGAAATCGGAGCTCAATGGTGATCTGTTGACAGTTCATTCGGGACTTGGGCCTCTACTGTTAAGTCTATAAACGATGTGCGAACATGTGCGAACCCACCCTTTTAGAAATTAAGATTCCTGGCATGCAGCCGTCTGTAGGGACTTGAGGAGACAAGTTCAAAAAGAATAAACTACCATTGGAACCTACCCTGTAATGGAGATGTCTACACAATGTTGAAGTTAGGTTGTTTGGGCTTCCTGCTTGTGGCTAAAGTAAAGATGTAAAGTTTTGGGTTTTGACCTTGTAAGTTTACATCTAGTCCCTCTGGGTCCTTCCACGCCATGGGGCTACAGTAAGGGCTGAGCCCAATTTAGCCCGAAGGTACAGCGAAGCGGAATACGGGGGCTACGCAGGGGCCCTGGCCGTCTTTGGAGCATTCCGGCATTGCGGTGAGGCAGTCAACTCCAACAAGTGACGGTTGAACATGTATCTGTTTTTTCAGACACCTGCAATAGATCTTCGTCCCAAGATCCCAAACAACCTCTGAAGGGATAGGAGCTTAGGGGGGCCTCGGCGTAGGCTTTCCGCTGTGGGGGTGCTGATGAATGGGGTGAAGAGCAAAAACTAGCGACGTGAACCTTGAACCTAAACCCTTGAAGCTTGAGGCTCATGGGTGGGGGGAGCGGGCACGGCCACTGAATCTAACTGTCTAACTCCTCAACTATGTGGAAAGCGCACCAAACACAGGGTCTGGGATGTACGGTTTGCCGTTCATAAATGTAGCTAAGCTTAACAAACGAGGCTCAAGCTTGGAAACCCTTAGAACTCTTCCCGCGAGCAAATTTCAGCAAATTCCTGTGAGGTCACTGCCATTCAGATCAACTTCCACCTCACAGGTGCCCGGGAACCCCAACAACGCATCACACCTTAATGATTTCGGGTGTTTAAGTTTATGGTTTCATACCCGTAAATCCTCAACGATACCCGTTGACAGCATGTGGACACCGGTATTAGGTTGGATACGGCATTGTGGTACCCACAAGGACCCAAGTCAGACCCCTCTTGAAGCTCTGTGTTTTCCTACTTGATGAAGTTTGTGTCATGACTCTTTGACACAGCGCAAGGCTTTCTGTCTCTAGCAGCTTAGGGCAGGCATTTTGTAGCATGTGTTGTGCAGAGTTCAGGGCACAGGCCCTTCGGAAGGCAGCACCAGAAATTGATTGACCTATCTCTACCGCGTGGTCCTCACAAGACTTCGGATCATTTCCTCATGGCCAAGGGTTTGGCCAGTCCGGCGACTACAGTCTACCTTAGGGGTCGGAATAATTAGAACTAATCTCCTGTAGCCCTTATACTATACTACTTGTAGACTATACTAGACACTAGACTACACTATACGAGTACCGTACACCTCAAATACTGTATGTCTAGCCGATGGTTCCCTCCCTAGGCGAACCCGCGCCTTGAGCCCGAAAGCATCGTCCGAGTTGCGAGAGTCCAAGCCCCTAAAACCCCGGAGCCCTACAGGGAACTCCAGAAAGTTGGAATATGGTTTCAGGGTAGGATACCCTATAATTTACTATAAAGGGTTTAGGATAATCATATTCCAACTTTCTGGCTTCTACTGTAAGCCAGCCAGGCGAGTCTTTCCATGCCCAGCATCGCGACATCTACAGCGCCAAGCAGCGAGCAGGCTCGCGGCCACAGACGGTCTGCGGCTTGAATGTCGAAGCCTCAATAAATACTAAGATTCTTTCTTGGGGGGGGGTGCCTTTATTCTATTTATAATATAATGTACCCCACAACCCTATGAGGCCCCTTCTGTTACGGGGTTTTGAGGGCTGCGTGCAAGCATAGCCTTGCATATGTGGTTACAGCAAAGACAGACAGCCCATTACCGCACTGACCCCGCAAAATTGAAGGGGGGTTAACCCAGAGCATGACACGACTCATGGGTTCTCATCCGGTCGAAAAACGTTGTTCGAAAACTAGCGCACCCTCCACCAGTTTCTTTACTTAACACTCCAATCCCTAAAGACAGCACACCGTTTTACATAGTTTACACATCTTGAAGGGCTGAAGTATAAAGTCCTTCGGCTTCACGTCAAACCAACAAAATCCCTTAAGCCCTATAAGCCTAAAGTCTAATTCGCAGAAATCAGGGACGTCTTGTTTCCAGCACTAGAGGCCATGGACTTCGCTGTGCACCCTTCCATGTTACACCAAGATCACAAAACGGCGGTTTCAGAATAACGGACTCGAAACCCTAAGCCCCAAAACTCGAAACCCTGAGGACTTCCAAGTTTTTGAGCCCCTCATTGTATCATTGCAGTTTGGAATCCTGACTTTTGAATCCTCTTTAACACCCGGCATAACTTCAAAGCCAGCTATATGCCTGAAACACATCTAATTAAACACCTTCCCGCAAACACATCTTCAAACCCCTCGGCCCTAGACCCGAAATCCGGCGCCCTGAACAACACGACCTCAACCCTACGATTTCGGCGCAGGCCCTAGTTGCACGTGCACCTTCAAGAAGTGTGTCGGCACCGTTTGCTACACCGTGGGCTCCAGTCGCCAATGCTTGCCTGCGGCCTAATTCAAGGTTTTTTGAACAACTAGGCAGATTACTATTATTAGTATTAGTATTATGATTATGATTATTATTATTATTATTATTACTATTATTATTGTTATTACTATTATATTACTATTACTATTACTATTACTATTATTATTATTATTGTTATTATTACTATTATTCATTCCTGGTCTAATTCTTCAGGCCTTGCTTTTGGTCAGGGCCTCGGTTAGGGTTTCACCCTGTCAGCCCGTCGTGGCAGTGCTTGCCAGGCTTGTCAATTAGACCAGGAATGAATAATAGTAATAATAACAATAGTAATAATAATAGTAATAACAATAGTCCAGATACTTGCGTCAAACCCTCAGAACCCCCAAAAATACCCGACAAAATGAGCTCGTTTCACAATGGTGGCAAAGATGCCCCCCACACTCCCCGAAGACGCTGAAGACATAAGACCACCGAAAGCCGGCTTTGCATCTGAGATCTGATCTCTTGCCTCCTCAAGGCTGGAGACCATGACGGATACGTTCTCCGCCATAAAGCCCTGCGGTGCATTCCCTAGGGTTTGGCTTCGAAGGTCTTGAGGTTTAGGATCAATTCTTGGGTCTTTTGGTGCTCTTCCGGTTGAGGGTTTAGGCTTGAGGGTTGCGGTTCACGCTTAAGGAGTAATTCCTTACATGGTTTAGGCTGTTGAGATTGAAGGATCGGTGAAGCTTTTGGGACAGGGTTCAGGCTCGCAGATTCTGAGGCCAAGGTTTGGTTCTTGCTGGTGTTGTGTTTGGACTTTCGGGTTTAAAGTCTACGCAGATGCTGGGGGTTTGTGGTTTTTGCTTTGCCTGCTGTGTGATCCTATGCCCCATCTGAATCAATCTCAGTCGCGGCCACTTTCTCATCCGCTCCCAAGAAGCCCGTGTGCAAAGACGTCCCCTTAAACACCATTACGGTTGGACTTAGACAAGGAACTGTCCATACGGCTTTCGAGCGCATGCGGTTTTGGATGTGTACAGCAGCTCCGAGATTACCCGTTGCTTTGCGGCTTGGGCCGTTTCCAGATTTCCCGCGGACCGCTAACAACTTGCCATTTCTGGTGAGGACATTGCCCAGGCAATGAGTCAAGAGGCAACAAGCTCCCAACTTTCAGACCAGGCTTCTGCTGTATCCTTGACTAGGATGACAGCGTAGGGTTTAGGTTCTGCCCAACCCAAACCTCAGCCGCCACAGTTCACTCACGAATGATTTGCTGGCTTCACAAATGTTTTACCGCAAGAAGGGTATAATGATGCGCAGTACTGTGAATTCTGCGTGTTCCATGTATTGAGTTAATTACTTCCCTGAAGAAGAAACCCAGCCTGAGGTGCCGATTGCACCGGGCGTCGCGAGCGCAGATGGCTTCATAGCCCCTGTGCTGAACATAGACAGACCAGAAAAGCCTCAAGCCGTTTTAAATTGCGGGAGCCCGCACCTGAGTTGAACACCTGTCGTGTGAGCTTGTGCCTCAGGGACTATAGGGAATCGGGATTTAGGGGGTCTCGAGCCCCATTGACAGATTCATTCCCGAAACCGGCGACTCAAATTCAAAAGCCCAGGCGGAGATGCAATGTACTTCAACGAAGCGTGGAATGTGCGGGGCTCTGAATGTCGAGGCCTAGAGGGCCAGTCTGTTGCGACCGTGGGCACAGTCGGCATCGAACCCCGCACACGCAAGGGAGAAAGCCTGGTTGTGTTATGTTTTTTCACGAAGGGTTCGTGACAAACACGCGACAAAGCTGATTTCGGCAAGAAGTTTCGAAGCCCGGGCTTGGGGCTTTCGGGCTTTAGGGTGTTCGAGGTTTAGGGTTTTCGTTCGGGGGCGCGAATCATTCGTAATGGTATTCCTTTAGGAATCCTGATTGCAATTAGAAGCACAAAAAGCTGCAAAGCCCGTTTGCAATTGTCATGCCACCTACCTCAGGTTGACGGGTGAGGCGAACCCTAAACCCATTGACGGCTGAGGCGAACCATACGCATGGAATCCCTGCAATGGAGAATGGCACGGTGCTCGGACTTTGAGAAACTTGAGACGAGGCCGAAAGTGTCGTCGGACCCAAAGGGTTCAGGATACAGTATATGGGGCGACTCTAGCCCTACTCGTTAGGTTTCTTGACTTGTGCAGTTCCCAGTGCCGCGGATGTTGTCTTGGCTTGTCTCGCAATGCAGTTCCTTTTCTGCAAGCAAAAGCTGCTTGATAGGCCGTTCCCCCTCCGCTCCGAGCAGATGCAACCAGCAAAAGATGATGAGACTTCGAAAACTGTGCACGAAAGAGCGAGCGAGAGGCGAGAGAGAGAGAGAGAGAGAGAGAGGCAGTGAGTGGAGGCACACCCTCCGAGAAGATGCTGATGTACGATTTAGCACAGTTAGGATTATCAATTGTCCTGTACATATGCGATCCGCATGCGAGGCTCGTTAGATCCAACTTGAGCCGACATGAATAGTCCGTGCAGAAGCTAACCCACAAGCTTTTCTAACCGATATAAAGCCAGATGGGAATTTCCGAAAATAGGGGATTCTAATATAGTACCCTAATAGTAGGATCCTTATTATAAGGACCCCAAAATAAGGTACATGGTGAAAGCTTACGGTTGAGAGAAGCACCCGGAGCTTCGAGGCCAGGATACCGGCCCCCGCATCTCGGTGGCGTTCCTGCTGGGTGCCGAGGACAGAGCAAATGTCTTCGGGAACTGGATCGGACAGGGCAGGGGCTGGTGTTCGTAGGGAAGAAGCCATTTGGGAGTTTCCGAAGATTAGGGTACCTTATTTTGGGGTCCTAATAATAATAATAATGATAATACTAAGGATCCTACTATTAGGGTACTATATTGGAGTCCCCTATTTTCGGAAACTCCCATTTGGCACAGCCCGATGCACTCTCTGGCCCGGCTCCAGGAGTCTCGGACCACTCTCCATCAGATGCAAACCCAGCGCATACAGCTACCCAATGAGGTGCCGTCATAGCTGGCTTTCCAACGCCGAAATAGGCGATTGTTCAGTTAGATTGGCCGGAAGGTCAAGGATTAAAGGCTCTGGCGAAGGAACTTTACATCGACTCCCGAAGGGAGCTGCTATTGGGATCTCCCGAAAGGAGAGCTCATATTCTTACGAGGTTGGCAATTCATGTCCATGTGCCGAAATCTTGCCGAGCCTCGAATCATTAATATCCTCAAGGGAAAAAGCTGCGCATATTCCATGTAATGTAAATTGACAGATGCGAAGTGTTTGGTATATTTTGGGTTTGTAGTTACATCATATGAGTTCTGATTAGAGTATGGAAGAGGTTTTTGGAAGTTCTTGTTGGTAGTATAAAATGTCAGACTTCTCTCTCGTGTCTTTTGCAGATTAATTTCATTATCTGATGCCTGGAATATTGAATCCGAAAGCTTCAGTTTCGAAGGGAAGGAAAGGATTTTTATCTACCCGATCAATAAAATTACACAACAAGAAAATTGACAATATCTTGATAACTCCTAAGATCGTAGTTATATTTGCGAGACACGTCGTCCCTGCAACCATTGGGATAGTCTGAAGGGATTATTTGATTGAGGTTTTGTGTGAGCGGAAGTGTGAGGTTGAGTGCGAGCGGGAATTCTGAGTGTGAGCGGAAGTGTGAGGTTGAATGTGAGCGGGGATACTGCGTGTGAGTGGGATCCGGAAGTATGAGAGGGAATGGGAACGGGATGCGGAATGGGAACGGAAGGGGACCTCCTACTCTCCCTCACGTTTTTTTATTGCATTTCATGGCAAATATATATATATATATATATATATATATATCATTTATATTTTTTATAATTTATATTTATTCATTTTTCAAAAAATTAGAATTCACAAAATGCTTATTTCTTAGTATTCAAATACGATTTAGAAGATAAGGCATTTTAATATATATAAATATAATGTCAAGAAAATATCATGTTTTAGTTCTAATTAGTCTAGAATAATTTATATTCAAATCTAGATAATAATCTCGATTAATATCTAATATATATAATAATGATTTTACTATGGTCCCAGCACAAAAGATCTAGAAATTTGTTTTCAAATATTGGCGAGAGCGCGCTCGTCTATTGAAGATGCTACTTCCGTGGCCGCAAAAGAAGACGAGTCGTATCCTGCACTTGCTCCTTGGGATTTCGCAAGGTTTGGGCTACCTAGATTATTGAGGAATGGGGCCTGCTGCTTGTATGCTTCCACCCAATATTGGGAAGGTATTTTACTCCCACGGAGGGGGCTAGGGAAACTATCAAAAACTAAAATCTATTCGTTGCGTTCTATTGATGTACTGTTTCTATATCATTAATATGATTGCGAGATTAAAATCGACTTCTAATTTTATGGTATATTTTAGGAATAGGCTGATTCTGGGAGTTGATGGAATTAATTTATCGATAGATATACGCGATAATAATAAGGAATCTATAAAATGATATCACTTAATATATAATTAATGAAATTTCCTTAATTAATTGAATCTTAATTATATTTAATTATATTTTTATCGCTTGGATCATTGAATATTTATATTTATTGATGATTATGAATAAATATATAAGATTATAAGAAAAATATAATCTTAGAATGAATAATATTCAGATTATAAATCTATCTAGGATTTCATCATAAATATATCTTTAATTTTTTTACTTTCTTCGATATTAAATTGATCTCTATATGCATTATTAAATATACTAAAAAATTTATTGTATTAGTCGTATTTTCTATTCAATTCATAATATGATTTTCTGAGACTAATATATTGATTTTATTCTTTTTATAATTATTATTACTAGCATTTAATTGGAATAATATATATCTGGATAAATATTATATCTTAAATCTTTATTATTTTGATTAATAATATCTATTGTATTTTATCTTCTATATAGACTATTCTAAATAGATAATTCAAATGATAATATATTTAGAAATTAATATTATTCGTGTCGATTTTCATATTTCTTAGTGATTTTTTTAGATGATCAATTATTGCTCTTAGCATGAATAATTTGAACAATAGATAGATATAATAAATAATATAAATGAAATTGATTGATTTTTCGCAATACTAATATTCTATCGATATTATATGAAAATTTGAATTATTGATTTTGAATGATTTCTAATATCTAAATGAAGAATATAAGAATTAAGAGATTTTTCAATATAGAAGCTGGAATCAGATTAATTCAATTTGTGAAGCTGCAAGACTT